ATCTCCTTCAATCCAGTTAGCTTCCATGACTGCAATATCGATTCATTTGGTGCAACTTGTAGGCTGCACCATCAACAAAACCTTCCAAATCATGACCGATCACTCCTACTCCCCCTGCCTCAGCATTAAAAGCACCATCCAAGTAGTTGGTTAATATTGGGCCACGCTTCTCCTCAGGGCTTGGAAGGAGTAATCATCATCACTATCGCGGTCCATCACGCTCACAGTAGTTTAGGTCATCACCTTCACTATCACTACCATGCTATTGCTCGTATTTAATTTATGTATTCCACAACGTACATGTGAGTGAACCATATATATATACATACGCTAAGGGAAGGTAAGATACTATCATATTAGAAAGCTACAATTTTCTTAACGTTTAATAAAATATTTGTTTTAATCTTTAACTTTTAAAATATTTTAATTCCTAATATTTAATTTTGGGATAAAATAATTTTTGGTTTAATGAATACCGTTAATTGATTAACGATCAATGATTGTCGCTAATATAACAAGTCTTACGTATTCAAAGTGATGACATATTACATGTCATGTGTACATAAGTGATGACAATAAATATACCATGTGTATATAAGTGATGATGTATTACATACTATATATTTAAAGTGATAATGTGACATATATCAATATTGATATGACACATATAATATATACATAAATAATGATATGACATATATCACATCAATAACAAATGTTGATATTTCTCGTGGGTATAATAGTAGGTTAGACAATGGAATATTCGTTTGAGAATTTGAAACTATTATTTCCTCACCGTGCAACAACGTACGTCGGCTGTTGATAGTCCTTGGTCGATGCTGCCTGGATTTTCAAATGGTGAAGAAGAGGATCCAATTTGAAGGAGCTCGGACATCTAATCTGGTGGGTCTACAAAAAGAAACTCTCGCATCGGTAAATTTCGAAACAATGACGCTAGTCGATCCACAACTATATTATATATTAACCGAACATGACTTGTACGAATCTTTTAATCTCATTATAATAGATTTTTAATAGCAACGAATACAATATTGCCCTGGTGATCCTAAACAGGTTTCATACTGAGTTCTTTCATCATGTTTTTACATATAGTTGGCATTTATCACACTATGGTGCACGTGCTTCCATGTTATTATCAACTGTCGAATAAAATTGAAAATGAAACAAGCAAGAAGCATCAAAGGGAAGTACGGTAGTGAGGAGTTCAAATTCAATTGATTAAAACCACGTGGCATCGGCCCCACCTTCCGTTGCACCCCCTTGGTTATTAAGCTTTCTTAAAACCTAACTATTAAAAGAAGGGTAAACTACCCAATTGGTTCATAAATTAAAGAGTCAATTCTATTTCGACCATTGAACATAGATTTTCATCAATTAAATTATTAAATTTTGTTTTAGTATCAATTAAGCTATATGTAGTTAATTAAATAATAAAATTATTGACATAATAGTTTTAAAATTTTATAGTAACATATTTATTTTTCACAACATGTGTTATCATCTTATTAATTGAATTTGATAGTTAAAATTAAGGGAAATATGGATGGGTTTTAAGGGGTCAAACTTGAGAATAGACTTGACTCCATAGTTTAGTGACCAATAAGGGTAATTAACCCTTAATAGAAATACTCACATGATTGCTGACAATTCTACCTCTTTTTTCACGTGCCCCATAGACCCACTTACATTTTTTATTTTTTATATCTAACATATACTATTATTATTAAATTCCAAAAATAATGTATTAGTGATATTTTATTATAAAATAATCTTAATCTCTATTTTTATGCATTTATCAACATTTCTCAAATGAATATGTAAATGATTATCACACAATAGCGTAATATTTATAAAAAAAAAACTTATTTTAAAATTGAATAAACATGAATTGTTATTTTTTGAAATTAGGCACAACATATTATTTGTTTATATTATATTAAACTACATGTAACCCTTGATGTCTCTAAATATTTTTTAAAAAAATGATAATTAAGCATAAACATATTTATAATGATAAACTAAATCAATTAATCCTTTAATAAAGAAATTGAATCAAATTAAGCATTTTGACTAGTTTTAACCATTCAATTTTAGCATACTTTCACTAAAATAATATTGTCATGTGGTATAACGCATTTGTAAGTAAATATTAGATTTGACAACTAATGTTAGTAAAACTCATCAAGATACCCTAAGACTAAAGAGTAATTATTAATTATTAACGTGACGTGTATATTATATACACAACAAACAAACAAACATTATCCATTTTTGTTTTTACCAGTTGGTGGATAATGCGTATTAAACCAAAGCATGGGATTAGAGTGGAATAAATTGGGCCCATCTTACTCGTTCTGCAGTTTGTAATTTTTTTTATAAAATTATTTTGGGATACAAATTTTCTTTTTAATATTTAATATTCTTTTAAATTGTTTGTTATTCTACCCATAAATACTGCATTACTTTATTTTCTACTATAATAATAGTTTAACAATACTTTATTAATTGGGATAGAATATAATTATTTAACCATTGCTTTGATATGATAGTCGATGGACTTGTTTGATTCGACAATATCTAAAAAAAAAATTGATAGAATTTTAAATGTGAATAATTAAGTTTATTTAGGGATGGACATAGGTCGGGTGAGTCGGGTTAGGTCGGATTTTTGGTCCACCCGACCCGACCCGAGAACAAGAAATCCTCTACCCGAGATCCGACCAAAACAAGATTCCACTCGACTCGAACCTGACCCGATATATAACTTAAAAACCCAATCCGATCGACCCGAAATAATAAAAAAATATTATTTTATTTAATAAAAACAATGACTTAATTGAAAAATAATATATAGAGGAGTATTATTGTAATTATTCATAAATATATAAGTAAAATTATATATTTTTTTCGGGTCGGGTTTGATATTTTCATCCTAAACCGAACCTACCCGACCATAACCCGATTTTTTTATAAAAAAGCGACCCGATCGGGTCGGTCGGATCAGAATCTATCGGGTTCGGGTCCCATACCCATCCCTAAATTTATTGAATTATTTCAAATTATAAAAAAAATGATAGGATATATAAGTTTTAAGAACTAAAATATTTTTTAATAGTATGACGTGGTTACAAGGTAGTATATGTTTAAAACTTTCTTAATTTTTTATAACGCACATACCGTTTTATTTTGGGACAAAAATGTTCATTCATAAATAGAATTTGTTAGTTAACAAATGTTTAATGCTTCAAAATATGAGCACTTCTACCCTTAAAAAATGGTTAGAGACTAAAATACTCTAAAAAAAGGAATACAAATTAAAGTGACTATTCGATCAAACATTATATATATTTTTATCATGAAATAAAACGTTGAGGGTTAAAATATATAAAAAAATTATGTTAAAAAATTAATTTTAATATTATGAATTTGAAATATCAAATCAAGCTATGGCCTTATAATAATAACTGTCCGTGGTCTGATTAAAAAAAAGCCTTCAGCTTGGACTTTAATTGAAACCATTTAAATTTGCAGTAATGAGTATAGTTGTTATTAGCAATTGGTAATAAATTAATGAGACATTATTGGTAATTAATGGAAGTGGTTAACTGAATTCAACCCCCATAAAATAAAGGATTAATGCAGGCTTTGTCGCTGTGATTCCCTCCATAAGTTTACAGCCCCATTCCTCTGCCCTTAATTATTTCTTCTCTTGGGAACTCAACCCACTGCCCTCTTTAATATTTTATTTTTCATTTTTTGATAAATATTTTTGTTTTTAGCTTAATTAATTAATTAAGTTTTTTTTCTTTTCTTTTTTGCTTTGATTGTATGAGCCAATCAAAGCCCTTTATTTATTCCTCACCCACGTTTAAGCACGATGACAACATATCAGCTTAATGAAAACAACGGTCATGATCTCACCCACCTTCCTACATCTTTTTACTCATTTTAACAATCAAATATTTAGTATTTTAACAATATATAATTTTATATATTAGAATATCAACTAATAACTTAATAATATATATTTTTTAAAAATTAAATTAAATATATTAGATTGAAATTCCTACTAAAATTTAAAATAATTTGGAGTGAAGAATTCTTTAATATCCTAGTTCTTAAGGTAGCACAATCTTGGGTCTAATATTACCCAATTTTATTCAAACTTTTTTACCTTTGTTTAAAGCAATGATACCTTTACTTTATAAGTCCAAAGCTTAACATTTGCCAACTCATTACTTCACCGAACCATGACAGAAACCAAAGCAAGCAACCCGTCAAAAGGAAGTTAGTAGTAGAAGCCTAAAAGAAATATAAATAAATATGATATATTTTAAAAAAAAACAATCAATTTTTTATTTATTAAAGTAGATGTTTAACATTTTATTCTATAATTATTTTTAGACCGTCTCATAAAAAGATTTATAAATTTAGGATTGTTAAAATTTTTTTTTTTTTAAAAAAACTCTCTTTGTTTCCATTAAAAGTTGAAGGTATGAACAAGTGTCACATGTTAGGTATTCATTGGATAAATTTTTTAACCGACAACTAAAAAATAAAACGAATAAATTAGTAAACTCCTAATTTAATGAAAAAATTAAATACCTAAATAAAATAAAAAAAATTAATAATTTAAACACTAATTTTCAATTAACCCAAATAAATAATTTATTTTTAGATAGATAAATAAATAATTTAAATTCATTAGAGTAAGCATCATAAAATACTTTACTTTGACATAATGATTAATTAATTAATTAATTAATTAATTAATTAATTAAACTTACTTTAAATTGAAAAACTCAGTAACTCATTCTTATTAACTTGATGAAAACAATAAAGTTTTAACAATTTATATATAATGTAATACACAAAACTTAATTAGTTTATAGTTTGCATGCTAAAAACAAAAAAGATGCTATAATTTCTTCATATTTGCAATTCTGCCCTTCCCTTCACTCCTCAAAACCCCACCCTTTCTCCTCACTCTATCAGGCACCAAACCTCTCTTCTCTTGAAATTCTCATTAGATTTCATCACTTCGTCTCTCTAGAGAAATTTCATAATTCCTATTCATTTTCCCGTTTATTCGCATATACGAAGCTGTATACCGTTACTTCTAAAGCTAAATGGAGGTCGGGGACTTCGTGGTTGGAGGATTTTATGGCGGCGCTGCAGGGGATGATATCTCGCCGGCGAAGATGCTTTCTGCTGAACGCAAGCTCTCGGAGAATTTTACCGTCGACGATCTCCTTGACTTCTCCAATGAAGACGCTGTTATGAGTGACGGCTTCTTCGAAAATGTCGCCGGTATTTCCACCGATTCCTCGACTTTCACCTGTAATTCCTCCGTCTCCGGAGGGGATAACCATATCTACGCTGCCAATATCCCTCACTCCTCTCAGTTCTCTGGTGAACTCTGCGTCCCGGTACTTAACAAAACTAAATCTTCTGTTTGTTTGAATTTTTGTGATTATTGCATGGAAAAATTACGATTAACGTGAAATTAACGTACTTAATTATTTTGTTTTGTTTTAAATATTTATCGATTTTAATTAGGTTTGTTTTGTACAGTATGATGAATTGGCTGAACTTGAATGGCTTTCAAATTTCGTTGACGACTCATTCACTACGGACCAGAATTTACAGATTTTCGCCACATCAAAATCAATCACACCCGAATCCTCCTCTCCCTCCACCCGACCCGAATTTTTAACCCGGATCCCAACCAACCAGATTTTCCAACACGACACTCCCCTCCCGGGCAAGGCCCGTTCGAAGCGTTCACGGGTCGCCCCGTGCGATTGGTCCACCCGACTCCTCCAACTCAACCTGAAACCCGCAGTCCAGAAGAGAGCGGACGACCCGAACGGCAATTCGGAGTCGTCGGGACGGAAATGTTTGCATTGTGCGGTGGAGAAGACACCGCAGTGGAGGACGGGGCCGTTGGGTCCGAAAACATTGTGCAATGCGTGTGGAGTGAGGTACAAGTCGGGTCGATTGGTACCGGAGTACCGACCCGCTGCGAGCCCGACATTTGTGTCGACGAAGCATTCGAATTCTCACAGGAAAGTTTTGGAGCTTAGGAGGCAAAAAGAGTTCCAAAGAGCACAGCATCATCCACAGCTTGTTAGTCAAACTTCGATTTTCGGCATATCCAACGGTGGTGGTTATGCTGATGATTTCTCGATGCATCACCATGGATCCGACCACTTAAGGCACATGATTTAGATTTTTTTTTAAGAAAAGCCTACAAAAATCAAAAGAAAAAAAATGTAGCTCTTTCCTAAAATTTGAACTTCAAAGAAAATGAGAAGAAAAGGATGTTGTATTTTTTCCCTGAAACCAAACTAGAAAACAACGGAGGAAGTTAGTCGTAGTTAATTTTTGCCCAATTGAGATTTGTGTTCCAATTTACGGTTATATGTTATAATAATATCATTTTATATATTCAAATTTGAATTAATTTTGTTTATTAACATTTTATTTAATTTTAGTTCTTATAATTTTAATAAAAAGGTGAAAGTTTTATATCATCGAGTTGGGGTAATTTTATCCGAAAAATACCTTAAAAGTTATTAATTACGAAAAATTCACTCTTTCATCAATAGTTATCGATATGTCACCCTTTCAGATAAAATACTCTCTACAAGACATGCCTTAGACATATGTGGCAAGTACCTTTGCCCATTTATACCATATGTGATTTTAGGGTTAGGCTAACAATTTAAGGTTGGGGTTTAGGATTTATATATAATATGATGTATAAATTTATCACTAGATATACAACACCATTATTGTATCCGACATATTACAAAAAATCATCATGAAAAATTTAAGAAAAATGATGAACTACAATTACTTATACGCATGAGTATGTTATTTTTTTTAATTTCATTTTATTTACTTATACTTGTCACTAACTAGTATATGTAACTTAGGTTACAAACTCTTACCTCAAAGGTTTGAGTATATGTTACAAGAGTTTCATGTAACATCCCAAAAGTCGGGTTAGTGACTAAAGTGTAAGATTTTAAATTTTGTTGGTCAATTTAGATAAATTGAAAAGTTCAAGGATTTATTTGGAATATTTTTGTGAATGATTGTTTAGCAAATATTAAAAGATGAAGGGACATTTTGGTCTTTTGACAATTAATGAATTTAATATCGGTTAGTGGTGTATTATATACACGTGGAAGGAAAGGAAAATTTCAGAGAAATCTAAAATCCTTTATTCATCGTTTCTTCCTCCTCTCTACGTGAGTTCTTCGCTAAGGTAAGAGAACTCTAAGTTTGTTATTTCTTGAGTTTTTAAGTTGGTTTTGATTATTGTGGGGTTAAGAAAGCTTAAGGAAGCTTAAAGAGAAGTAGGAACTAAAAGATTTACAAGTTACGAGAGATTAAATAAAAATGGTTTTTGAGTGAATTGTTGAGAAAGAGTTAGTAAATGAATTTTGAAGTGAAATTTGACTTGTCGTAAGCTGGAATAAAAAAATCTAAAGTGTTAGAAATGGATTTGGGGTATGTTGATTATTTGATGTGATTTTTGTTTCTAAGTGTTCTATGAGGATTTTTTTTTATGTTTAAGTGTGTTTTAGTGAGATAAGTTGGTTTTAAAATGTGTAGTTAAGTTTAAAAGCTTGAAAAGAGGTTAAAGAGGAAGATTTAAGTAAGTTTTTGAATTTTCGGATTAAAATAAGTAAGTTATGGGTAAGGGGTATCGGTACTGGATGAACAATACCGATACTTCAGAGTAAAAATAGGTGATATTTGGGTTTAGGTATCAATACTGGAAGAACAATATCGATACCATAAGGTATATTGTATGAAATCCTTTAATTAATATCGATATCGAATGAGTAGTATCGATACCCCTTGGTATCGATACCAGTGAACACGTATCGGTACTATTTTGAGAGATGAAATTCTAGAATCAAAATTGGGTATCGATACTGAAGTATAATATCGATACCATAGTGTATAAGTATCGGTATTGTACCTTGGGTACCAATACTATTCAAAGTGAAATAATGAATTAAGTGCTTCGTTGAGCTCAAGTTTTTGTGATTGATTTATAGTATTATGAATTTCGATATTTATTTATATCTTATATTTGTGTAGATATTGATCGAAAGCAAGATCCGGACGATTCAAAGTTGTAAGAGCGATCTAAGGTGCTAAGTGCTTAACTTTGACTAAGTGAGGCTAAGGTGAGTGCATGCTAGTATGAAATATGATCATATGGAAAGAAAACTTGCGAAGAGTCTATTTTCAATGTTTGATGGCAGGATTTCATAAATACAAGTATATTATTGATATGATTTATTTGTGTACATGCGTACATGTATATGTAAATATGTACATGCATTGTTATACATGAACTATGTGTTACATGTTATTCTATATGTTATCGGATCTATGTGAATACATGTTTACATGATTATGAGAACATATGATATAAATCATGTGATACTGAACTACGTGAATATATGAAAATGTTATATAAGCTATGTGATATGATCTATGTGATTATATGAACATGAGATATAATCTATGTGATATTGAACTATGTGAAATGTGTAAATGGTAAAACCCATAAGTATGTGATATGAGAGTTAAGGGTATAATTGGTATGCCAAGAGTCGAGGGTTCTACACGATCATTCGGGACAATTCTTACGTGGTCCTTCGGGACATTCTATGTGGCACTTCGGTGCAATTTATACGAGCAGTGGTGACAACATTACTGCACAACCTCAATGCACTCACATACCTTAAGTTCTCAAAAGTGTACAATGGGCTATTAAAAGAGATAACATAAATAAACAGTGTGTAATGTTATGTGTTTTGCTTTGTGCAATGTATTATATGATGTTGATACTAATATTGATGATAATGACGATGATGAGGATATATATGTGTGTGTATTTATGCTTTTGTTACATGATGTGTTTTATAGTTTCTTTATATGATTATATGAAATGCTTAGAATATGATTAAGTGATGAGATGTTTTATTATACCTTTTATATGCTTCAATAAGTCAACAACTTAGCGTGTGCGTGATTTTTCACACGTAGGTTCAAAGAAGTCAGAATATCAAGATTAGTGCGAGTCAAGACATCATAACTCTATAGAAGATCATATCAAAATTGATTTAAGTTATATGTTCTTTTGCATATGTTATTTTGTTGGCATGTAAATGAAAGTTGAAATCGAAAATGCTCTGATCGAATTTTTGTAAACATACTTGATTATATTAATGTAAATTATTAAGTTTGATGTTTAATTTGAGTATGAATTTCTCCACCGTTTTGATATGATATATTATACAAATTATCAATAAATTTTTAAGAGTAAATGTTTTGAACAGTCAAAGTGACACCTCATATTTGTATGTGGGTCGGATACGGAGTTGGGGGTGTTACATTGCAAGTCAAAAATGAAGAAGGTTACAATTACATCAGACTCATCAAGAAAAAATGTTGACAAATGCATACGATGGGGGCATCGATATGGTCATATGACAACCAACTTGGCTAAGATTTTCAATTTAACCTTAAAGGGGTGTGTCTTTTACCTGTAACTACTTTGGTTAAAACAACATATTTTCGTTTGGGTAAGCTTTTTGCGGAGCTTGGGGGACAAACCCTTACTTGGATGCTAAACAACCATATTTATCACCCAAGATTAGTAGCATATCTACCAAAAAAATTACAGCATCAAATGAGATGTTGGTAACAAAATTTGTTTGTACCCATTAATTATTTCGCGTGTCAGAGATACCACGACCTCTTGAAGGAATGAAATTTAACTCTTTTTAGAGTCAACCCACAAGAAAGGTGGTGTGATTATGACTTCTTTCAAGGTGTAAAGTATCCATACTCCCAATCATAGCAAATGTTATGTTAATCCCGTCTATGAGCTTTCACAAGTATTCAAGGTATATGAATTTGAGTTTTCCCCGTAGATAATGAAAAAGATTCAAATGAGATTCAAATTTGACTTACAATTAAACTATATCATATTTTATTAAGGGAATTGAGTCGTTCAACATCCTCCCGAATTCATTGTGATATGAATATTCGAGAGATGACCAAAGAACCTAAAAGATATGGACATTGTAGAAACCCAATCCACAATAAGAAATTTTCATCACTTTTATCATCTTTCAACCGTGTACCATAATTATGTAATTGTATTTTCTGGTATTATATTTGATGTTATTTTATTTATTTTTTTGATATTGTATTTTATGTTATTGTATTTTTTTAATATTATATTTTATGTTATTGTATTTTAATTTCTTGTATTTTTCATATAAATATTAATGGTTTTATTTATTTTTATTCTTTTAACATTTTACATTTACAATATCTTAAAGATATATATTACATTAAAATATCTAAACTTATTATCATATTCGATTTATTGTTATAAATTATATGTAATTTTACCTTTTATTTTTTAAATTAGAATATCTAAACTTATTACTACTCCAATTTTATATCAAGGTTACTAATTTAGGACAAACATATATCTTATTAGTTTTAAAATATAAATTAAAAACAAAAATACAAATACAAATAATTAAATATCTTAGGACTTCTATTTTAACTCAAAGTATTTTTAATAGTTTAAAACCCTAACCCTAAATCGTTAACTTACCCTAAAAGCATAGATGGTATAAAAGGTCTGAAGGTGCTTTGTACATAATGTGTCTTTTACGTGTGTTGTCAAATCAGCATAAGGCACGTTCTGTAGAATGAACCTTTGTCATGTATACTTAAGACGCATCTTGTAGAAAACGCTCTATCTGAAAGGGTGGCATTTTAATAAATATTGATGAAATTATAACATTTTGGTAATTAATAATTTTTAGAGTTATTTTTTGGTAAAATTACCTTGAGTTGGATGGGAGAAAATGAGTGAAACCGCTTGGAGAAATGTTTAGAAATGTATTTTCAAGGTAAAGTATATTTGAATTTAAATCTAAAAAACAATATTTTACTGCTTTGATAATATTCTTTATAATTATATATTTTTGTTATTTTTTAATTTATATTAGTATGCTATTGAAAATTATATTAGTATAAGAAATTATCACTATATTTGGAGAATTCTTTTTGTTGCTTTGATTAATATTATCTCATAAAATAGGTTTTTATATTTAGAGGATTAAATTTTATTATATATTTTTTTTAAAAATGATTAAAAATCTTAATATATATAT